TGTGTGTGTGTGTGTGTGTGTGTGTGTGTATGAAACATCATGTACAGATATGCATCATAAGTCAGAAGAGGTGTGGGATCTCTGAAATTGGGTATATGGTGGTTTAGGGCTTCCATGTAGGTGCTGGGAACTGAACCTGGGTCTTCTGCAAGAGGAATTGTTGTAGAAATTATTTAATCCTGATCCTGTCTTCTACCCTGCTTTGATCATTGTGTTCTCAGATTAAAAAAAATCAGCCTTTATGTTTTTAATAAGCCTTAATCAGCACAAGAGCTGTGCTGATACTTCGCCTCCATGCTGTTAGAATCGACCTTATGATTGATAACCCCAAATTACTACTTACTATGTTTCACCTGGGCTGCTCTTAACTCCAACTGGCCAGTCCTCAGGGCCACGTTTTTATGGCTACACAGAGAAACCCTGTCTCAAGAAACCAGAAAAAAAAAAAAAGAAGAAGAAAGGAAGAGAGGGGGGGGGGGAGGGGGGGGGGGGGGGAATGAGAGAGAGGGAGAGAGAAACAAGTTTTGGTATGCAACACAGGCTGGTCTCAAATGCCATACCTAGCTGTCTCAAAGTACACTGTGATTTTCAAAATAAGCTACTATACTAGGCTTCCCAGCTGCACAGTGTGCACTTTGAGAACAGAGCTCTGCCTTGCTCCATTTTGTGTATTTCCAGGGCTACAAGGCCTTGCTTGGTTGAATGAGAAAACTAATAAATGTTCTAGATCAGTGTTATCCAATAGAGCAGCCGCAAACCACATGTGGTAGCTCTTGAAATGTAGCACGTCTAAATTTAGATGAGTTGTAAGAATAAAATACAGTATAGATTTCAAAGACACTGTGAAGAAAAGTAAAATGCTGCATTGATATTTTTATATTGACTAAATATTGAAACAAAAATTAACTATATATGCTGGGTGTCGTTTTAAGCTATAGCCTTTTGCTCCAGGAGGTGACTGGTGCTCTGGGAGGTGATCGCCTTACCATCCCTCTCCCAGCTTCCCTTGAATCCATGGATAAACACATACACACACAGTTTGATCCTTTACAACTTGCCTTCTTGGCACAATTGCTGGACGTTACTATCTCCTACCAGGAAAAGTGTGCCCTTAATAAAGTTTTCATCTCCACTCCTCTCACCTGCTCTCAACTTCAGCAGCTAGTCCCACCTAGCCCCTGCCAAGCATCTCTGACCACCACCTGTAGAAGTGGCCACAACCCCAGCTCTTCCTGAAATCTCACATGGCTGCTGGCTTCTTCCCTCCAAAGCAAGTTAGAAACTCCCCTCTCTTTCCTTGTGTCTGCCTTTCCCTCCTGGGACCCGGAAGACCCACCTGTACTTTTTGCCCAGCAATTGGCCCCTGGCCTTCTGTACTGACAAATCAAGAACCAATTGGGGAACAGGACCTTAGCATCAATACTGAGATCCATTTCTCGACCTAGGTTTCTGGTATACAATGTAGACCAGGCTGGCCTTGAACTTACAGATCTGCCTCTGCCTCAAGAGTACTGGAACTAGCCGGGCAGTGGTGGCACACATCTTTAATCCCAGCACTTGGGAGGCAGAGGCAGGTGGATTTATAAGTTCGAGGCCAGCCTGGTCTACAGAGTGAGTTCCAGGACAGCCAGAGCTACACAGAGAAACCCTGTCTTGAAAAACCAAAAAAAAAAAAAAAA